ACGACCACATAATTTAAGCTCAAAAACTTGTGTCGGGATCAATCAACGTCCTGAAGCCCTCGGTCGTCAAATCCTATTTGGCCGGGCATATTTGAAAGGGCAAGTGCCCTCCCAACCACCCTTTGAGGGGAGGGGACATAAGGAGGCTGTCAGTTTTTTGTTTGAATGATAAATGGGCATAGAAATTTAAAATTACCTACACAATTGAAAATGCAATGAAAATACATATCTAAATAAATGAGTTTATAGGAGATTCCAAACTTTAAAATGCCTCATAAATTTCTATAAAAAAATACAAATATTTTAAAAGTGACTTTAACATCACCCTGATGATGGTCGTGTTTAAAGTGAATCTCAATTGGAGGGGGTCAATTCTAAACATTTAAATGAAACTTTAATCTCAACCGAAGGGGGTCAAGTACTTACCATTTGTGATGAAGAGGGAATGGAGGAGGATGTCGACTTTCCACATTATGGACAAGACCTTGCGGACAAGTGGGTCTTTGGGAAGGGAGTATTGTTAGACTGGTCCATTGGACCGGTCCAGCCAGTCCACACGAGACCGGCTCATGCGAAACAAAGGCAGAATAGTTTCGCCTCTCCTGTACACCGCTCGAACCGCAAGAGTCAATAGAGTTGTTTATGAAGGATTTTTGAGAGAGTTAGGAAGGAAATTTGAATGTAGGGATTGTTTAGAGATTTCCTTTTGGATTGTATGCATTAAATAGTTTGTTAGGGTTATGGCATCTTGAATTTAGCTGAATTTGAGATCTCTTGGGTTCTTTTGGGCTATAGTGGCATCTAGAGATTTGGGAGAGATAGATCCTCCTCTCGAATAGAAAATCAATTGTGTTTTGATATTTTCTTTCCGTTCTATTTGTCTTGCAATAAAATTACTATTTTCTCTGATTTTCATTGGAGATTGGAAGAAATTTCATCTAGAGATTTGACCTGCAATGCTTTATGGTGTTGAATGTTGGCCATTAAAAGAGAAGCATAATACTAAGTTAAGTGTGGCAGAGATGAGGATGCTCAGGAGGATGAGTGGCTTTACCCTTAGAGACAGGATACAAAATGAGCATATACGTGAAAAGGTTGGAGTTGCTCCAGTAGAAGATAAGATTAGAGAGAGTCGCCTTAGATGGTTTGGTCACATAAAACGACGGCCTTCCAATGACCCGGTTAGGAGAGTAGAGGTATTAGATTTGACTTATGTTAAGAAAGGTAGAGGCAGACCTAAAAAGACCTGGTTAAAAAATATTAAGAATGACCTTTCTTTATTAGATTTAAACGAGAATTTGACCTTTAATAGGACACAGTGGATAAAAAAGATTCATGTAACCGATCCCACGTAGTGGGATAAAGGCTTGATGTTGTTGTTGTATTGGAAGAAATTTCTCGTTATTTTCCCGAGATTGATAAGATTTACTTGAAATATTCAAGTGTTTCATATCACTATTGTGCTTTACTGAGACCAAACCTCCTGGGGAAGGATGATACGCTTTTTGGGGGGGGGGGGGGGGGGGTAGCAG